CGGTACTGAAAGGCACGGTATTGTATAGGAAAGCGTGTAGAAACCGAGACGACTGAAGGATGTGGAATGGGAGCTTAGTATTCACTACGAGGAGTAATCTTTCTTTGTGACAGTAGCATTCTTCCTTTTGTGCTAGCAGCCATATATCTCTGTACATCCGCTTCTCCCGTTATCTGTATAATCTGTTCCCGTATCGCTCTTTGTATTTGTCGATTGTTGTATGTATGTCACTACGCGGTGTGATTACTTCTATTTAAAAACCTTTTTTGAGAAGGAAATGCAGAGCAAAAGAGGTCCGCGACTCCGTCAAGCTCTTTGTAGCGGCCTTATTTTTTTCTGCGCTTACACAGCATTTAACTCTAAAAAGCAGAAAAAAATGAAAATGAGAACCACTGCGAGTGTGCATTCATTAAATATTTTAAAAAAGCTTGAATAGCTGATGCAATGCCACAAAATTTTGCATCCCGCTTGAGTGTTTCATGCTTTTAGTGCCCTCTTTTGCGCATTCCGTTGCATGGATTTCGTACGACTCGCTTAGTGTGTCAGATCAGTGGTTCTAAGGAAGTTGTAGATTCAGTTATTTTTATTTTTTATTTATTATATCCTCAGAGGCTCAGTATGTAAGTATACATGAGGGGTCGGCGACATAAAAAGGCGGTATGAAAAGTAATGGTTAAGATAAAGTTGAGTCTGCTTCCTAGATGGCATTCTTGAGGCTTTCTCGAGTTAGCGTGCGGGGGTGGAGATGGGGGGGCGCAATGGCAAGCTTGGGTTGTACACAGGTCGCTTAGTACTTTCTGTATAAGCTACAGGATCGGATTTCAACAGCGTTGCACGGATTTTAGTGAGAACACAGGGGGTGAGGGTAGAGTGGGGAAGAGGGAAGGTGAGGGGGAGGGCACGTGCGTTTTACGGTGACGAAACAACAGCCGGTGGCTCGCAAGTAGCACCACGCGTCCAGCGGAGAAGATGCCCCCTGTCTGGCTCCTTCCTTCCTTCCTCTCGCGGATTCGCCAACCCCCGCGGGAGACGTTTGTGTGGTGTGATGGAGGCTGCGTCGCCCTGCAAGGTCATCCTCAAGGCCGGCCAGCTTCCCTTCCAGCTTCTTCTTCGCCTGTCCTCCCTAGAAGGAAGCAAACAGCACCAATGACCAAATCCTTGCGTTCCACAAAACGGTCACTTAGTTGTTTAGGGTGAACAAGAAAAAAAAAAGTACTGTGATGGAGCCCGGTGTTCCACGTCGCTCTGCCGCTAAGTTTTCTAGTGCGTGACCTTCAAGCGGAAGAGGCGAAAAATTTCAGCTTGTGATATTCTACGTAGTAAGAGATCTGGGCATCCAACAAACATTTCTGCACTTGAATTGTCGCTTGAAGATTTTTGTCGGGCTCGCTTGACCCTGCTGTTTATCATGGAACAAATTATATCTACAACAGCTGTGAAAGACATACGCTGGTGGGTTTGATGCTCGAGAACTCGCTAATTTTTTTTAGTCATGGTGAAGGGAAAGGTATTAGCGAATAGTCAACAAAGATCCCGCGGAGGGTGTGTGTCGAGACGTCAGTTTTCTGGCGGTACCTTTGCCTGCACTGATTTTTTGCTTTCGCCAGGATGTTTCGATACATAAGTTAGCGTTATGCAATCGTACATTCATTGTTTTGCATAACGCCTTTGGCGAAAAGTTTTCAAATGAATCACCATTTTCTTTATTTTCTGGGGAGTACGAATGACTTCAATCAATAGTTGATCATTTATCTAGTACATGCTTAACACGAATATCTGGCACAAGAATGACTCCTATCTCGGTTGTGACTTCGTTATAACGAAGTCGGCTTCGTTATGGAGATGATACGCGAGTAAAAATGCCATTATGGAACAAATAAATCTGGCGAAAAGGAAACAACAGGAGCAAACGCACGCATGCGTCACTAGTACGATGTACACCGCACAGACTATCGCTACGAAAACCGTGTGAACCACGAGCCGTACGAAACTGCGGAACGCTTGGGCAGTCCTGTTCACGCCATCTGGCTCGTGTATTTTTAGTCTGTGCTAAGACTGCTGTCTTGAACGCCCATTTCTGCTTCATGCGTGTGAGTCCTAAACACTGCGTTGCTTCAGAAACACCATGGATAATCAGTTAATTTCTGTTCAAGGAAGAGAAAGAGGGGTAAGTCTGCTTTACCTTTCCTCGAAGAGCCACTAAACAAGTCCTTCTATTTTTCTTCTAAGCATTTGTTGCGGCCATGTCACACATTAAAACTGAATTGGAGCGGATGTGTGTTGTTAACCGCTTTCCTTAAATCGTTCGCATGGTATACCTTCGATTCCTTATTGTGGCGGTGTTTCTCTTGGAGCGGATATGTGTAGTTAACCGCTTCCCTTAAATCGTTCGCATGGTATACCTTCGATTCCTTATTGTGGCGGCGTTTCTCAATTCCGCACTGACGTGTTTTCTCTTGACATGATTGGATTGAACTACGTGATGGCGCGTGTGCCATGGAACCTCGATTAATTCGCCAGGGCTTCCGCACGTATAATGAATATTCTTCAAAGCTTCAATGTGATTGACGGGAGGCCCTACCTAGGGCCCATCCGGTTGCTTGCTTGCCTCCTCCTCTCTCATAGCGCTTCTTGTGTGACGGGTGGCCTCGAGTATTTCGAAGAAGTATGCGACTCTCTTGAAGCGGAGAAGCCTCAGGGTCATCTTACGTGGGTGCCAGTTTTCGTCGAGCCGTCTTTACGGAGTCACGAAATAACACGCTGTCACTTCGGGACAGTACGCTGCGAGTGCAGGCATGGGGTGCTGCATTCTATCATTCGGACATTTGCCCGACCTCTCTCGGCCTCAAGTTGGTTAAGGTATTTTTTAATTAGCTTTGAAAGCAACAAACGAGGCACTCTATGGCGAAAACGCACTTCAACTTGGCCGCAGTATTGATTGGCGAGCGAAGCAATTCTTAGTCGGGAGCTTCAGAAAAAAAAGTACAAGAAAATCGGCAGACCCTGCGTACCTTGAGAATCAATGCTAAGCGAAGCATGCGGAGGAAAGGTAGCTGTGTTGTAATTTTTTTATTGAGCTAAGCGTTACGAAATTACGCTAAAGATATGTACAAATGTACGCACAGACATATGTTAAACAGTCGCATGTTTAATGCTGTGTAATCATGCGAACGGCAACATGAATATTAGCAACACCAGAAGTGGTAAGCTGATATGTACCGCTTGTTCCAGCGAGGATGGCGGCCCTGGACACTGCTAGATTGATGAGCTTCAGTGCACGGCACTTCACTGCAATTGTCGTTAACCCGACGGGGTGGCTTTGTGATAGGAGTACGTATGTATACTGTTTATAAGATTGGATAGCCAGCACTGCAACCACAATTGACGTTTCACGAACATTACAGTCTACTCGAAAAGCAGTTCCGAAACCTGGAGTGACTCTGTGGTAGTACACTTGATTGCCACGCGGAATGTGGCGTTTGATTCCTCTTGGGGCCATAACATTTTTTTCTATGCGTTCGTTGGGTCAACGATGCCGATGTCAGCTTTTAGGGGCGAAGCTCCTTACGGCAGACCTAGTTGGCGTTCACCACGCCTCACAAAACCCAAACCTAAACTGAACACCTTCACAACAGCAACAACAACAAAAAAATGAAAACATGTGTAAACAACCGACTTTATGTGTAATCAACTATACGACAGCATAATACATGATCACTCTCGCCGTCAGTTTTTCCGTCCGCCCGTGCGTCCATCCGTACGTCCGTCTGTGCTTCCGTTCGTTCGTGCGTTCGTCCGTTCCTGGGTTCGTCCCTGAGTCTGCCCGTCCATGCTTCAAACAGACAGACAGAAGACATACATACATACATACATACATACATACATACATACATACATACATACATACATACATACATACATACATACATACATACATACAGACAGACAGACAGACAGACAGACAGACAGACAGACAGACAGACAGACAGACGATGGACGGACGCGGCCAGCGGATGATTAACGGTTTTCCGATAAAAACCTCCGAAGCTTCGCCCCACTCATCATCATTCACTCCGTGGATATGCTGTGAGGTGGTTACTTCATACATGCATACGTAAAGGTGACGGACGGATAGACGGAAGCGCGGATGGACTGACGAATGCTTCGCCGCACTCATTATCATTCACTCCGTGGATATATGCCGCGTATGTAAGCGTTGTACATCACAGTCGCGCCCACTGTAATCTATAATAGTTGAACAACGTTGATTATTTTTAGGGGTGAAGAAGCTCTTTACGCCGCGGGTCTTACGTCCCGCGTCGTCGTAGTCGTCATTGTAGCCAGTAGCATTGCATGTCAACAAAAACGGTGTCACAGCATATCCACGGAGTGAACGATGGTGAGCGTATACCGAAGCGTCCGTCTGTCCTTCCGTGCATTTGCAGTGTCTGCTTTGCCCCACTCGTCATCATTCACTTTGTGGATATGCTGCGATTTTTTTTTTCACCTGTTCTGAGCCACGCACCAGAATCCACGTTTTACTTAACAGCATGGAACGATGTATTCTCTCTTGTACTGCTCAAGGGCGCATGATATACGTAAATGGTTCATCTTGGTTTCAGTATTACAACCACCACCACCACCACCACCACCACCACCACCACCACCACCACCACCACCACCACCACCACCACCACCACCACCACCACCTCCACCTCAACCTCAACCACCACCACCACCACCACCACCACCACCACCACCACCACAACGTGCAATGACCACCACACCAGTGTACCTTTTTACTAATTTTAACAATCACGCCAGTACCTCCTTGCGTGACTTTTTGGTTGCCTTATACATGAATTTTCTCTGTCGCAGGTGGCATCACTGCAGCGCAACCCGATCTGTGGTGGATTCTCGGTTGTGTCTTGGGTGGCCTTTAGCGTGGCGGCCATGAGCTAGCGGCGCGGCACCCAAGCGCCGCTGGAACCGCGGGGGCCATGGCGTCGGTGCCCGCGGTGCCCGAGTTCCGGGACGCCGACCAGTGCCGCCAGCACGGGCTCGAGATTATTCGGCCCAAGCCGCGACGCCTCGGAGACCTGAACCGGCCGCACGACACCAGGATGCCCGCTGAGGGCGCCTCCCTCAGGTGAGCTGGAAAGGACTTGTCACTATAGACCTGCATGCCGGAGTTGTCGACTATAAGCAGGACAACGAAGTCCTGGAAGCAGTTAGGCGAAATGAACGGGACTCGCTCACATCTTCAATGCCCCAAGCCATCGTGAGTTCCTTTTCGAGCCGCGGTTCGTATACAACAAGAGTGGCGATGTGGGCTTGTTGTGGGCTGCGTTACACTACAGCCGTCCGTCTGTAGTGTAACGCGTTAGAGTAAACTGACCGATCCTGCAGACAATACTTGCAGTGAACGGGGTGTTTTATATAGATATTACAATCACATGGACAAGCTTGCGTGCATTCCGGTCAAGCTGTGTTCGATAACGAAATGATCTACATTGTACATATAGGAGGGTAAAATGCGACGAAAGTATTTATTTTGATTCAGCTCCTTACAATTAAACATCAACGCAGAAACTTTTCCTTTGAGTGCAAGTAATGCGCTGCATCAATACTGCGATGTTGCCAACATTCAAAATATTATCTTAAAAATAATAAAAAAAAGGCTCCAGATGTCTCACTGTGCCACAACATGTGGGTCAATACGAGACACTGCGGGGGGGGGGGGGGGGGCAAAATGAGACAGTGTGAAAAAAAAAACATTCCTTCAGTATTTACAGTAAAAAGACTTGAAATTCGCTCTGTGGGCTCTTACGCAGTGTTAAGAGCCTAGTCCTTGGACTCTACGCATTGAATCTAAACAGAACGTGGTGTTGTGTTGCTCCGAAGCTTCTTGCACGTCAAACACCGCCAGCCTTTCTTTGTGCTAATTTTTTCTGTTGTTGAATGCTCACACATCATTGAATTATTCAACATTTAAAAGCTAGATATGTTTCGACGAATCTTCTTCACCTCTTTTTGTCGTTGCGATGCAGAACTGTTCAGGCGTTTTACGGCTTTCAACTTCATCCGCCGGTCCGTGTGAGGCAGTGAATTTAAAACTGTGCTAGAGTTGCATTTTCTAGCACTTTTTTTTCGATTAGTGTATTGGAGAAACGTCGTTAAAACTCAATCCCAAGACGTGTTTGTGAACGACTTGACTTGGACGTCTCTTGAGAGCATGCTTGAGAACACGGCGAAACCTTCGATGCAGCGCGAATGAATGAAGTCATGTCCTGAACGGCAATTAGTGCTTGTTCATGTCGTTTTCCTCTCAGAAATCTCGATATCATATTCTCGTGTACGTCCAAACTCTCCTAAAGAAAGAAATGTAGCAGATGATGAGTGTAAGTAAATGGTTCAACTAATATTATTTCTAAAGGCAATTGGATGTTTTTGTCGCGTTTTGCCTCTTTCACATGCCAGAATTATAAAAAAAAATCCGCTTTGTCCCCAGGCACCAAACGAACGAAGCTTTGGGCTGTTATGTAGCTCGCAGGCTACATGACCCCATAGATGGAAGATGGTTTTAGGCTTAGAGTAAACGAGTAACTTATATGTAATTACGCCTAAATGGGAGCAAGCTAATAGGGGATCCTGAAGTCGGTGGTCACCGTTGTTTCGCACAAACTCATGAAATATAACCTGACCCACCAGTTTTTTGTTCGCCTTCAGCTCATGTAATGTCCCATGTGGGACCTTTGAGGTATAATAAATAAAAAAAAGCCCAAAGAGTCACACCTAGTTCTCACTTTCAGACCGCCAAAGAGCATGAACTGTGGGCTACATTCACTTCCGTCGTACTCCGAGGCACGTGCTCCGTTGACGTCATCGGGATAACACGAGCGACAATTATGATTCCAGAACAGGGCGTGTCCTTTTTCGGTCGTGAGAACGCAAACGGTGGCGCCGGGTCCTGCGGCTGCAGATAAATCTACAGCGACAGCACGCGAAATAAGTGATTGGTTCCTGGGGCTAATGTTTCCGCAAAATGTGCAATAACAGGCGTGGCCGGTGGGAAGGAATGTGCGAACAGCCAAGTGCAGTGGCAACCTTGTAGATTTTCCTTTGTGTTTGTTTTCGTGAATATATCTTCCAGTGTTCTTGATGTCATTGTCCTAATCTTCGCAGTTTTTCGCTACGATACATTTTCATATGCCTTTCGCGTGAAAAGACTAGCTGACACCATATGTAAGTGCCGACGTGTACGGAAAAGGGAGTTGGGTTGAACACCTCGCAAAGAGTGGGCAACTGCCTAGCCTCATTAAAACTGAGACGTGTGCTCGAAAAAAAAAAAATAGTTCGGTGTTGGAGTCCAGAATGCGCGTCTTCCACCAACTGCGCATACCCGGCCATGAGCGAAAATGCATAAAACGACACTTCGTCAAGAAATGTCGACCAAAGATAATGGTACAGTCGCGCCCAATGGGTTTTGCTACACGCTTAATACCCCATAACGCTTCCCGTGCTCAGAGAGGCGCCAACACGGCACGGTGGCTCCGACATAGAAAACAATCAGTGATGCAAGCACTACACGCTGCTTTGACTGCTGGTGTACGCAAGACCTGATTTCACTTTTCCTAAGGTTAGAGTGTAGGCTAGTGACCTCTTCAAGCATGGGCACCGTGTAGCGACTCATAATGAGCGCCATTGCAGTGCGAGGATGAATAGCAAATCGCTGATTTTCTTGCTTCAGTAAAGGAAGCAATGGTCTGAGTGATTCGGCGTGAAAATGACGTCACTACAGCCGGCATCGTTTCCGACTGCTGCTTCAGGGCGTCGCACCGGGACCTCATCGGGGGCTCTGCTCCTTCGCTCACCAAGCTGTCCGTGCGCGACCTGTGGCCGAGTCCTTCGGGGCGCTCGTCGCACGAGGCGTCTCCCAGGTCTTGCCTGTCCGCCGCCGCGTCGTCTTCGTCTCCCGGTCCACCCGGGTCCAACCGCGCGACTCCCGTTCGCGAAACGCCCGTGTTGAGCAGCAGCAGTAGCGGCGCCAGCAGCAGGGCCTCGCCCGGTTCCCTGGCCCTGTCGGCGGCCACACGTGCCTCGCCAGCTCGCAACAAGCTGTCGGTGGCCGAGTCTGCCATGACGCGCGAACAGGACGAGCAGCAGCAGCAGCTGGACGAGGGATTCCCGCCGGATCCAAACTTTTCCGTGTACCGGTAAGTAATCGTCGTCATCGTTTACGACCCGCGAGATAAAAAGGGCGCGTTCGCAAGAAAAAGCAGGTTGCACGCTTGCACGACTGTCGTGCGAACGTACGATCGATCGATCGATCAATCAATCAATCAATCAATCAATCAATCAATCAATCAATCAATCAATCAATCAATCGTTGTTTCAGCTCTTCGACGAGCTCTGCAAAAAGGTGCTGGTATAGTGATAAGCACAAGTATAACAAGTAATGTCGCTAGAACCAGACTTCGCACTGTCATGAGCTGGCGAAATGGTCAGCGAAAAAAGCCCAACAAAGGGTTGTTCTTTCGTCAGTTCCTGGCAGCGTGAACAGTTGTGAAGTCGTACCCCGGAGTCCCCACAGCAAATCGTCTTTCGACGGGGACACCTGTCTGAGAGTTGCCGCAGTGACATTCTTTGTTCAACAAATTCCACTCACTTCAAGCCTTTCGCGCAATTTCTGTTCTGTCATTAAAGATGTAAAAAGAAAACGCAAAGGACATTCGAAATGTTGTTCGTATCTTGTTAGACGTTTGAACGCGAAAATGAATCGTAATAAATAGGATGAATTCAGGTAGTTTATTGCTTTGTTTAACGATGATAAGTTAAAAAGACTGACTATGTAGGTTCGCACACTTAGACTCTGAGCACTTGAAGTGTTGTAAGATATGTTGTGTCCTGCGCACTTCGAGCAATTGTGTTGAATGGTTGCACCCTTTAGTTATTCACAAAGACAGTTAGATGAACGAGAAAGAGCGCGAACCACAGGACAAGAGGACAGTCCGTGTCCGTCCTGTTGTTTTCGTGCTTCGCGCTGTTCCTCCTTTTCGATGTGCATGTACCAACCGACCCGAACAAGCACTCCATCGCTGTTACATCAGCATTTTTTTTTAATTAGCGTTCCTTAGCGCATACGTGTTGCTGGACAAGCAGTAGGTAATGAAGAGAGATATACTAATAGATATGAGCGCGGTGAGTTATTTGACGTATGCTAATAGGTAATAGTGCACTTGAAGTTGTAAAAGACTATGTCTACTTAGGGCAGGTAATAACCGCAGAGCCTAACCACGAGATTGAAGTAACTAGAAGAATAAGAATGGGGTGGAGCACATTCGGCAAGCACTCTCAAATTATGACAGGTAGATTGCCACTATCCCTCAAGAGGAAGGTATATAACAGCTGTATCTTGCCGGTACTTAGCTACGGAGCAGAAACCTGGAGACTTACAAAGAGGGTTCAGCTTAAATTGAGGACGACGCAGCGAGCAATGGAAAGAAAAATGGTAGGTGTAACCTTAAGAGAGAAGAAGAGAGCAGAGTGGATTAGGGGACAAACGGGTGTTAAGGATATCATAGTTGAAATAAAGAAGAGGAAATGGACATGGGCCGGACATGTAGCGCGTAGACAGGATAACCGCTGGTCATTAAGGGTAACTAACTGGATTCCCAGAGAAGGGAAGCGGGTTAGGGGGAGACAGAAGGTTAGGTGGGCAGACGAGATTAAGAAGTTGGCGGGTACAAATTGGCAGCAGCAAGCACAGGACCGGGTTAACTGGCGGAACATGGGAGAGGCCTTTGTCCTGCAGTGGACGTAGTCAGGCTGATGATGATGATGATGATGATGATGATGATGATGATGATGAGCGCGGTGATTATTTAACTGATCGGCTGCTCGTATGCAACGTTGTTTTGCAGTGACTCGGCCTCCAACACGGACTGCGGCTCGCTTAGCAAGAGTTCTTCGGACGGCGATCCCGTCGTTTCACGGCGCAAGCCTCTCGCGAGGCTCAAGTCTCGTCGCCGCAACATACTCAGCTTTCCTCTCAACCCCGAGGACCCGCGGTTAGGCATGCGTCGCCACGACCTCTACGCCGGCGGATCCTCTTCCGACGAGAACAGGTGAGTCTGGCTTCTGATGAATGTAGCGTTATAACTGGACGCAGTTTGTTTTTGCAACGGCGGCTGCTCATTTCCCTGCACCGAGAAGACGTCGCTATCGCTGTCCGAGTCGACTTGCTCGCATGCTTACTGCGGAGATGAAAAGAAAAAATCGCGAGGATCTTATTGCGTAAAGTGTAGACTTCGTTAACCTTCGTAGACAAGAGTTCATGTAGTTTTCAATTTAAACCATCGAACATCGTGTAGAATAGTATATGCTCGCATCGAGAGGCACGTTACGAATGGCGATGTCCCTTTTGATGCAAGCAAAGACTACGTCCCTTTCCACGTGTATCATGTTTCTTCCCGTGTCTTCGTCAGTGCATTTATTTGGCTGTGATTCCTCGTCATTATGTGCGACCAACACACCCAAGCGAGGTGTATTCTAAAAATATTTTATTTCTATTTTGTATTTTAGGTATTTATTTTAACTTTTTATTTAACCAATTGTTTTAGTTTCTGTTGTAACTTTTTTTGATTTGATGATGTGAACTCAGTAACAGGCAACGAGTTACTATAGTTCTTTTTTGTTGTTCAAAAATTTTGTTCCTTTTTTCTGACGAACGGTGCTCCTTTGTTCCTTTGTTCCTTTTTCTGACGAGCACCCAACGTCCAGAATTGAGAACTGGGCAGCCAGAGAGCTGTGCGATTCCGGCACCATTTTACTTAATCTTACAACGGCGCTGGGTTATTGCTAAAACTTTTTAAATTGTTGCTTCATGTTACGCCGTGTCTAAATCTTCTTCAACGGCATTGTAACCTATCAGAATAATAGAAAAACTAATGGAAAGTCTAACCGAAGAAATTTAACAGAAATAATATCCCGTAAAGCGTTGCTAATGTTCATCGTAACAAACGTAACAGGAGCCATCAGCCGCATTATTATTTACCGGAAAAGTCTGGTACTTACCATCCCGTCTTCCGTCGCAGGTCATCGGGTCATGCCAGTATGAGTGACGGTGGTCAGTCGTCGTACGCGAGTTCAACGTCGCCACCGACGTACCTGGACTTCGCCCGCGGGACGCCGTCGGCCACACCACTTACCAAATCTCTGCACAATGTGCCCGGACACCTCAAAGCTGTACCCGAAGACGAACGAGTCCCTCCGACGTCGATATCGGCGTCGCGTCTCTGTCGCCGATCCCAGCCATCGTCGTCGTCTTCGTCACACGGTAATGACTGCTTACTAATCGGACCGGAGCTTTGCACATTCTACGAAGGTCTTTCTTTTTCGCTTTCTGTCTTCGTATTTTGGGAGGACCTCAAATGCCTTACGACTCCAAGGAATGACTTCTATATTATTTTTTCTCTCTCTTTAACTCCCTTATTTCAATCTCCCACCGTGTGTTCTTAGTTTACACTTTCTGTTTCACTTGAGCAGGCAACGCTTAATTACTTCAGTTTGCGGAGTCTCTGTGTAACGTAACTGTGTTTGAAATTCGTTAGTGTTTTCTTCCGTGAAATTTTTGCATAAAAGTTGCAAGTTCTGTCGTTCTGCTATTCATTTAGTTTCATATAAAGAACTGCTTTACCGATGTAACACATCTGAGGGCCATATTTGACGCTCTTCATTCTAAGAGCGATATAGTTAGACTTGGCGGGACCATGTCTTCGATGGTGAAAAACTTTCACTCAAAAACAGACAGTCGATAATAAAAGACAGTGAGGAATCCATCACCGTGATTTCCTTGTCATGGTTCGCATAGCACAATTAACCTCCCGAATTTTAGGTTTTGGATCGTGTTGATCGTTTTGGATCGATTATTGAGAGCCACAAAAGTGAAAGGTCCGTGTTTTGCTTCGGAAACAGCACAGCGCATGGCTACATTCACACCACAAAATCTCTATGCATAGCTCGTGCCGTAACTTATTGCGCTTAATTACGACATGTTAACCCAGGTCGCGTGGTATAGGGTTAGCGTAGCAGCGAATTCGCGCGACTGCCCCTCAAGTAAATTGAATAGCTGGGTCGTCCTCGGCAGTAGCAGGCAAACGAATAAAACTCTTCTAACTTTTGATGTTAGCCACATGTCGTGCGCTCTTCCTCAAAACGGCCGCCCTACAGACGAGCGCCCAACGTCCTCTTTCAGGCCGTCGTGGATACCGAAGTAGCAGCGGGGGCAGCTACGAACTCCACGAGAGCTCGGCCAACCTGGACGATATCCGGCAGGCCGTGGAACAGCTTGCCGCCCGAACGCAGCAAGGGACGAACAACAGCGGCGGCTACTCGACGTCCACGTACTCGTCGGACGCCGAGCCTGGCGGCGTTGGCGGGGGCGTGCGGAGGCTAATGCGGCATTCGAGTCTCGAGACCATCGCCACCAACATCACGAGCGCCGAAGAGTTCGTCTGGGTGGACAACCTGCAGTCCCGCCTCGTGGAAATGCAGCGGCCGCCCTGGACTAACCACGACGTGCTGCGCGTTCTCCAGAGCGGCCGCCTTCGCGAGCAGCGTCGCAAGATCTCCATGGAGGTCGTGCCGCGGCTTTCATTCCTCTTGCAGAGGCCCCTGGTGCGCGTCGCCAGGGAGGCTCAGAGGTAAGAAAATGATATCTTGGTTGTCAGATACGTCTTAATAAGAGGCTGGAGAAGTATATAAAGACGCGTGCCGCGCTTTAATTTGCAAAAAAAAGTTCAGTTTGTCATTTCTTTTGTCGAATGCCGCAGACAAGAAGCGTCTGCTTGGACTGGGATTTGAGCTGTGCATCATTACCCAATTGAAGAAAAACCTTAATGTCTATGATTCAGACCGTCGTTCGCGAGAAGCAGAAGGCAGCTGGTGTCGGATCGCAGTTAGGAGGAACAAGCTAAGTTAGCAAGATCACCCGACATGGCGCATTCCAATTCACATAGCCCCACACCAGTCATAGCAAGGTTACATTAACGATTGGTGCATTGCAAACACCTGTCGATCGCGCGGATGGATGTCCGTGGTTGTTGATCGCGCAACTTCAAAATTTCGCTTGTCTTCTGCGAAAACTGCGAATATCTCATAACGAAGTTTCCGCTTCCAACTCAGGCTTTCGCGTCCGCTGGGCGTGTGCGGCAAACGGCAGGTGAGCGGTGCCCTGTGCATCGTGTTGTCGCCAGCCCTGGCCGAGAGCTGCGTGAGTGCTTGCCACCGAGCCGCCGCTATGTACACGTCATCTTCGTGCGACCAGCTACGGCTGGGCAAGAGCGCCCGCGCCGGTCTGCAACTGCCCGTGGGCCGGTTTCAGCGCTGGGCGTGCGACGCCCGTTTGGCACCGTGCGTGCACGAGTACGGCGCCCTGTACCTGACGGCGGCCGCCGAGAACCTGCTGGAGGAACTGGTGCTTCGTTGCTTGGAGCCCGGAGCCACGCTGACGGCCGCCGCGCTCGAGGCGGCCATCGCGAAGCAGCGGAGAACTCTGGGGACTCTTCCAGCCGTTCGCACACCTCAACGCGGGAAGGACGGCCACAGGTGAGGAGCAGAATTCACGGCTAGGGACAAGCAATGGGGCGCTTATCAAACAGCGCATTGTAGTGTCTAACCAGGACAAGAGAGTAACACAGACAAGCACATGTCCTAGTCCTGATGGACTAACAACCTGTCCTAAGATTTGCGCTCTTATCTGGTGCCATTTTCTGCAGTCAAAGAGTACTAGCGGTAATTAAAACTCGCAAGGTCCCTTATGCACCCGCCTAAGACCATAGAGTTTCATTCAAATACACTACAGAGACTTTTGGCGCTAGTGTCCGTGGGAGCTGCAACTTACGGCGCTTCAGCCCGCGTGGGAATGATGGGTAGCACACCCTTGTTCTTTCTGCTCCGTTTGTCTCTTTGCTCTGCCAGGAGCAGCGTAGTCACGAGATGACAATCAGCAAATGTTCAGCAGTTGCATGACTAAAATCAAACCAGGTCACGAAGCTCACAATGGTTAGTTCTTTTATTCAAAACAAAACCAAAACACAGCAATAAATAAAGCCACAAGTGCGTCTGAAGCCGCAAGCACGAAGACTATTTAGGCAAATTCCTGTACTACCCATCAATGCCTGGTGACTGAACGATTGCAGCGCCGGAGCCCCATCTAGTTATTTTAGTAAACTCTATGCCTGAGATCACTCGAAGGCGATAGCTTTCTTTTTTCTCAGTCGACGTACTTACCCTGTACATAGCTTTCTGCTCTTCGCGTGGTTTCCCACAGCCACCTGTATCGGAGGCGCTGAAAGCTTTGTGCATCTCCCGCCATAGTTTTACACTGCCTCCACGATCGGCCCACCTGACCATTGCAAGTGACGGTGTCACATGAGCGACGTCCCCGTGTGACGTCGCAATGACGTACCACATTTTGATGGCCTGTGGTGTCGTGATGACTTCATCACGTGCAGGTGATGAGTGAGGCGCGACAGCTTGAGCGACAGAGGTAACCGTTGCTCAAGCTGTCGCTTGTATATCCTAACCCCATTCACGCGACAAATCTTCAGCGATGTTGGTTTGAGTGCGACTTCTATGTCCGAACTTGGCGTGATGCCAGCGGTATATAATTCCATTTGTTTGCATAGTAACACGGTTTGTCCGGCAAAGCAACATAAACATTTCTGAAAGATTTGCATTAATCTTTTTTCTCTTGACGGGCACGCACATTCGGTTGACAGTTTCGTTCAAACGATCGCATCCGTTTTCTTATCGGTATGTGCGGCACAACTGTATCTGCTTCTTGCATTTGCCTGTGGCTTATACGATTTCCGGGCAACGAGCGTCAGTATCAAAATGTTTGCGAAGACGACCGATCAGCCATGCGACACATTGCGCGAATAGCCTGTTTCGTCGCGTGAATTTTCGCGCATGTAGGAACCGTGTTAGACCATTTCGGTTCGTTCATTATTTGGACGTCTATCTGGCGATGTTCGCGCAGATAAGTAGACTGCTATTCGTGTACCCTCTGCCTGAATACACTAAAGTCCTCCTTGAGACTAAGCCATGCGTTATCAGCTCGCCTGTCCCGAGGTGTCGCTCGATTCCTTGCGACAGTCGACCCAGCAAGTATCTCGCGGCGGGACGCTTCGGAAGGTTCTTGCAACACACGGTCACGGAGGCCGGCATTTTTGTTCGCACTTGCGCATGATACGCACGCAGGCATCCGTGTTTCCACGCGTGTGTATGTGCAAGCTCGGCGACACTGTCGTGGCTGCGACAGCGGTCGTGCACGTGGGGCTGCCGGCGCTTTCTCGGGGACGTCGCCCCTGCTGCATCGGATTCGGCGGCGTGGCGCCGGGGGCGCAACGACAACAAGAGAGAGGAGAAGTTTGAGAAGGAGGGGGAGCGAGAAGAAGAGACACGGGAGAGAGGGGTCTCTACCACCGTAATTAGTGTCTCCGTCCGCGATGCATCACGACGGATCCTTCGACGCCCCGTCCCGCCAAAATCGGGGTTGAAGCCCGGTTGTGCCCCTAGCACGTCGCGTTGGGAGCTGAGTGAAAAAAAAAAAAAAGAAAACAAAAAGCGCTTGCTTGAGCGCTGCATACTACAACGGCTCTGGCGGCGTTCCAGTGACTCTCTTACCCCTGCTACGCCGAATTTTTGTTTTGTCTAAGTTTACTGCAGAAGCGGAGCGAGTCTTTTTTTGTTGTGCCTCTTACAAAAAGCGACTTTTATTAAGAAATCGAATGTCGCACGAACTTCCCGCGATCATCAGGATCAATTTGACTATGTCTGAAAAGTGTTACAAGCTCTAGATTAACGTGATCAACAAACTGCGCTACAGTTACTGTGAAATACGAAGTATTTTGCTCAATCTGCATTAATAGTGCCGCGGGTCATGCTGGCATAAGTGAACTGGATTATGGACTCTTGACTGTCGGTGCAGTATCGACTACCGATTTGCTAGTCTTAATGCCTCTTCCAGGAATTCACCTGATCTTTTTTTTTACTCCATTTCGATGTGGTAAACGTACGTGATGTATATTTTGTATTTTAAGTGTTATTAGGTGGTGATATTCCAATTGAACCGAAATCATGTGAGGCTAATTTTCTGGCTCTTCAATAAAATAACGGCTGCCGGTTGGCTACTGGTCTGGCTATATTGGTTAGTTTAGTGGATCTTTTTCTCTTCGAGTATCTGACAACCCTGAGTACGACGTTGAATCAACAATTATAAATGCTTATACCTCGCATTCAAGCATTTCTCACTGCAACTAGAATGCTTGTTCATGGGCAAATAAAAACTAGCGTACTGGTAGTGAATAAAGTTGTTACCAAGCAACAGGAAATTAATAAAGCTGCGCCGCGGTGGTCTAGTGGCTAAGGTACTCGGCTGCTAACCCGCAGGTCGTGAGATCGAATTCCGGCTACGGCGACTGCATTTTCGGTGGAAATGCTGCAGGCCAGTGTGCTCAGATTTGGGTGCACGTTCAAGAACCCCAGGTGAACGAAATTTCCGGAGCCCTCCACTACGGCGTCGCTCATGATCATATATGGCGGTTTTGGGACGTTAAACTTTGCATATCAAATCAGGAAATTAATAAACAGCGACACATTGGCTCTCGTGTTTTAAAGTTAGGGACGCAGGCTCAACGACCTAGGCTAACTCATCGGCGCGGAATATTAGTTTTCCGGATAAAGCTGATGCACTTTTTTGCGCGAGCTCTGTCACTTATTTCCTATTCATCTAGCGAGCATGCTTATTCTATGCCTCCGATACCTTTGGCCGCTCTTTTTTGACCTTCACAGCTCTTTTGACGTTTGTTTGATTGAGTCAAAATAACTGAATGAGCGGCGAACTTGGGAGAGAGAGGAAAAAATACCACTGATGCTAAGAAAAAATTAAAAAAAAACATGGTACCAAAACAAATGAAAGAGCAAGGAACAAGGAGGCCGAGCTCACAGTGCAAGCTCGAAAAGGAAATTCTCCAGGTGGGTCTAATTAAAAACGATGCAGATATAATGTATCACTGCGCCGTCGGTACAATAGGTGGAGAAGAGAATAAAGAAGTTTGTTTTAAGTAGCTAAATAGCCAAATAGATTAGGCCTAGGATATTCTTCAGGCGTTCTTACGCCTTGTTTTGCCGTAGTACCTCGCTGTGATGCGACAATTTGTGCTTTTTTGTAGGGCGTAGATAATGCCACTGACATGAGATCGCTCCTATGCAAGGACTGTCATGGTGGGAAGTCTATTTCGTAATGAAATCAGTCACACGCGATTGTTTTTTATTTCTGTCTTTTCTAATCGGCATCGGAGCGCTTCTGCGCTCCCCTTCGCAAGAACAACGAACGCACATTGGCGCGTGATGGGTGTGTCGTCATACTGTCGCATATCACCGATCGATCACCGCACCCTTCACCACCGTTTCTAGAACCTAGTCTAGAAACGTTTCTAGAACCTAGTCTAGAAACGTTGCCCTTCACTGAGTGCACAGTGTCGCCAGCCGGCACATGTGTGAGTTACCGGCAGCTCTCGCTTTCAAGTTCAGTTGGGCAGATTAAAAACGAGAAAGGGAAAGCAAAAAAAAAACAGAAATGTTAAGATCGACGACGTAGCAGCGTCGTATACATGCGTGCCCAGTAAGAGAGCCTCCCCTCCTAGTGATCTAAGTGTTGCCGAAACTGCCGCCTTGGTAGACTGCATGCCCGTGTAATCTTCATGGTCGCCGCAAAGGATATGCAGGTCGAACGATAGCCGCCCGCTTTTCCGCGTGCTTCTGCGGCTCTTGCTTCCCCAAGAGGGAGAGAGAGAGAGAGAATGAGAGTGAAATGAGCAGTAACATTTCAAGTTATCTTTTGGAGGTGCCGTGTTCCGTCTGCTCAAGTTTTTCTGGGCGTTTTATCTTTCTATTTTTTGCGCGCTTTCGCCGTCTGCCAGGCTATCTCTCTGGCTCTCTGCGTGTTATCTCTCCTCGCCTCTTTCGGCCTCCGTTATCGGAACCGCACACGAAGCCCTTCACCCGAGATGCGCCTCCAGAGGATCGGAACTGGTTCCAACCGGAAAGAGCTCTCGCCTCCTGAATTTTAATTGGACTCGATACACGAGCGCTAACACGTGTACTACGTCCAACTCTTGTGCTGTGTTTCTCTTTTTAAATTATCTCCACCTCGAGGTCTTTTCTTCCTTGCGTAGTACCACGTTGTCGGTATCGGCAAAACAAACAAGTGGGAGAGTTCGGCGACTTCAAGAACCAAGCGTTGCGGTAGTGTAGTCTGCGTATGTGCTTCGGTCGGGCACAGCGCACGATTGATAGTCTGCAGAATACTTTCCCTGTAGTTCGTGAAGAGAATGCACAACGAGGCAAGACTGTAGTAAAATTGTCGTAAACGGAGATTACGTTTGGTTCTCTCGCGATTTTTATGTCGTCGCAGTGCGGCCTCTTTGAACTCTGTTCACTGTTATCGAGAGACGTCCAGAACGGCTGAGGTTAGCCAGCATCCCTCTACGAGAAGAGAATTCCTGCGGCAACCAGAAACAAGCCTCGATTGGGCTATCTTTACGTTCGCCCTATAGTCGGGATGAATTCATTCAAGTGGAGAACCTGAACGTGATTATTGGAAGGGGACGTCATAAAGCGGGATGAAATTCCTTACCCTCTAAGGCACTTTCTTTCGTTCCGTTCTCTTTTTTTCTTTTAGTGTACTGTTTCGTTGTATATCGAAGTGCACCAATCACTCCAGCTTAATCGGGATTTTTCGTGGCGACTCCGCGACTGTAATCAATCCGCGACCCTGTGCAGGCAGCGCGCTCAACAAAATGAAAGTGAAGGATTATCTTGTTCTTGCAATGCCTCTCCTTGGGTCTTTGACTTTCGGGGAGTAGACATGGAATGCACAGCTGATCAAATGCGACATCAGGTGCTTTCAGCCGCCGGTATCGTTAATACGTAGCAGTGGCTTAGTTCGACTATGCCAGGATATACGTAGCGTGAGCTACAGACGGACAAACTGATGGACGCACAGACGGACGGACGGACGGACGGACCGGTGAACGAGCTCACGCCAGTTAAGTGCCAGCCCACTAGTGACACGTCCCTCCAGGAGCCTCCTGGCCTTCTCCGGCTCGCCAGCTGTGCGCAGTGTGACGTCACTTCTCAGTGGGTATGCACAGCAAGGCTCTCGATAAGCCATGCGAAACAGCTCAACCTCGGGCAATGTAGCTTACGCCACATAAAGTGTGTGACCCTGCTTTTTAAGTAATGATGGGCCAGGTCTGGCTGAAAAAATCACGGGAATGATTTAGCCCCCCCCCCTCCTTCCCTAAGTAAAATGAAAGGGGGAGGGGAGTCCGCCTCCTCCCCTCTTGCACCCTCTGTGCACATGTCTGTGACTGTGATTGCATGTTTTTTGTGTACCTATGCAAGTGAAGGCTATGCGCACGTACTCCGTTATTGCTCCTATTTTCTTTTTTCTCTGACTCCTTCGTCTTCCAGTGTCTTTCTCCTTGTTTATCTCTCTTTTTCTCAGTAATGTCCAGCGTTGATGAAAACAATGTGTCGTTTTCATAGTGTCTCTTCCTTTGAAAAACGTCCGTTCGAATGCACTGACGTCATCGTAGCCGCCATGTTGGAGGACTAACGATGTTACAGGGGCTAGCACAGCAATGTCGCAAAGTTGCATCCATTGTGGCTAGGCGCGTTGTTTCGCTTGTGTGTACTCGTATACACGTCTGCAGCATTACGATTGTGTCTTGGTGACATGGAAGCGCTCTGCTGTATGTCCTCTTAGACACGCTAGTAGCGTCCCGTCACACTGAATTCAATACACTGACATTATCCTATAGCCAACATTTTGGAACGCCAGTACGGTGGGCCGATGCGTGGCTCATGCCATGTGTAAGGCATCTGGAGTGATTATGCTGTAACCATTAACACTTGGTGGTTGCGTATGTCTCTCCCTATTGTAGGCGCTCTGTCGATGCCTCGATGGCCTCAGCAGCTTCAACAGTGCTCAAGTGGCCGCGGAGGCCAGGGCGTGGATCCACAGCAGCCCCAGTCGCCGGGCCAGCAACCTTCGTCCAAGGATGACCATCACCGGAGCCCATCGGCAGCGAGTGACGCCCATGAACAGAGTTTTCTGACCACTTGCGTCGGGAGCATCGCAGAGCTGAGTGAGTGGCACGTTCACGCGGATGAATTTTGCGGAGACGGAACGAAGCTCGTTGTCACGTGCGTTCCTGTTCACGTAATCAGAATAGGAAGCATGAACTTAAGTTTCATGAGGAATGATCGAAATGTTTGAGAATCGTTTTCAATTCGTTTAAGGCGACAATGTATACTTAATCTTTCTGGAAGTCTGTAACGTTACGGTACGGCCAGTATTCTATTATTTACGTTACTAGTGACAAACACGTCTAGTAGAAACGTCGTACGACTGAGGCATAGATGGGTGCTACCTCCAGCTATGAATTGATTGTGAAAAAGAAGTGGTTTATAAACTTGTTATCAGAAAGTATAAAGTGCGACTGAAGCGTCCGCTAAGGACCAGTCGCTGTTTTCTGATAATAGGCTAATGACCGTGTTTTTTTTTCATTTTTTTACTATAAATTGTTGTTAAAAAAGACCGATCGTCCGGGCTCCAGTCATATATGCTGTGTTGAGACGTTTATTGGCGGACACTTGTCGACGATGCGTGACAGCGACAGTCAATGCGGGTACCGACTCTCTGCACGAGCTGCTCTTCTTCTTGCTAAAAAGGGCAACCCACTAGTAGGCGCTGGAGAGGACGACCCACTGTTCGAAGGCTTCACCACAACTACCCCGGGTACGAAGAGGGAGCCGCCTGGCGACTTAGCAGCTGGTTACTATGAGCGGGTCGTGGTAGGCTTTGAGGCGCTCCACGTTGACAATGTCGCGCCCTCGACGGCGCATGTCCGAAGATGGTTCGATGGGTTCGTTCAAGTAATTTACAGGGGAAGTGCGTTCGACGACACGGTAGGGGCCTTCGTATTTGGGCAATAGTTTTGAAGATAGGCCAGTTGAAGTGGTAGGGATCGAGAGCCAGACGAGCGCTCCAGGGAGGAACATAGGCGCAGTAGTGCTGGTGTCAGCGCGAATGCCTTTTTGCCGCTCTTGATCATGCGCTGTAAAGGCCCTTGCAAGCTCTCGACACTCTTCAGCAAGCTTGGCTGTAGCAGAAATAGGCGTCCACTCTGACGGATCTGGCTTGTACGGAAGTATAGTGTCGATGGTGTGCGACGGGTGCCTTCCATATAATAAAAAGAAAGGTGAAAAGCCAGTAGTGCTCTGAGGGGCGGTGTTATATGCGTAGGTGACGAAGGGTAGAATGGAATCCCAATTTGTGTGATCAGCGGCGACGTACTTGGAGAGCATGTCGCCGAGCGTACGGTTGAAGCGTTCAGTGAGGCCATTCGTCTGCGGGTGGTAAGCGGCAGTTTTGCGGTGAACAACGTTGCACTCTTTGAGAATGGCTTCGACGACTTCAGACAGGAAGACGCGGCCTCGATCACTGAGCAGTTCCTGAGGTGGACCGTGTCGCAGCATAAATCGTTGGAGCAGGAAGGAGGCCACATCGCTCGCTGTAGCCGCGGGGAGAGCGGCAGTTTCGGCGTATCGCGTGAGGTGGTCCACAGCAACAATGGCCCAGCGGTTACCGGCCGACGTTAGTGGAAGTGGCCCATACAAATCGATGCCAACGCGCCCAAACGGCCTGGCAGGGCAAGGTAGAGGTTGCAGACCTACCGGCGACAGGTGCGTTGAAGTTTTGCGGCGCTGACATTCTATGCAGGAGCGAACGAATTTCTGCACATAGCGGTACATGCCGCGCCAAAAGTACCGTTGGCGAATGCGCTGGTAAGTCTTCAATACGCCGGAGTGCGCACATTGCGGATCAGTATGAAAGAATTCACATATGTCAGAGCGCAGACTGCGGGGTATGACTAGTAGCCACTGGCGGCCGTCACCGCTGTAATTGCATCGGTGGAGAAGGTCGTCGCGAACGGCGAAATGGTGGGCTTGACGACGCAACGCGCGAGTGGATGTAGTGGATGGATCAGTCAGCAAGTCTATCAGTGAGGCAATCCATTGATCCTTGCGCTGTTCAGTAGCAACGGCATGAATGCTAATGGAAGAAACGGCAAGGTGAGACGCTGAGTCGTGGGCATTGTCGTCAGGCAAGGGAGAGCGCGACAGGGCGTCGGCGTCAGCATGTTGCCTTCCGTTGCGGTACAGCACGCGGATGTCGTAGTCTTGCAGGCGAAGTGCCCACCGGGCGAGACGGCCTGAGGGATCTTTCAATGATGACAACCAGCATAGTGCGTGATGGTCGGTGACTACATCAAATGGGCGACCATATAAATAAGGTCGGAACTTGGTAAGGGCCCAGACGATTGCCAGACATTCTTTCTCAGTGACGGTGTAATTAGTCTCGGCTTTTGTAAGCGTACGGCTTGCATACGCCACGACATATTCCGGGAACCCTGGTTTGCGCTGCGCAAGGACAGCGCCGAGACCGACACCACTGGCGTCCGTGTGTACCTCTGTAGGGGCAGTAGGGTCGTAGTGGCGGAGTATGGGAGGCGACGTCAGTAAACGACGGAGCGTTGTGAATGCGTCGTCACACTGTGATGACCACGAATGGAGAGGCCCGTTACTACCGAGGAGCTTTGTCAGCGGCGATACGATAGACGCGAAGTTTCGGATGAAGCGCCGAAAGTAGGAACACAGTCCTATGAAACTGCGCAGTTCCTTGACGAATGTCGGCTTGGGGAACTCGGTCACGGCCCGAAGCTTGGCTGGATCGGGGAGAATTCCGTCCTTGGACACGACGTAGCCGAGTATTGTCAACTGCCGAGCTGCAAATCGGCACTTCTTTAGGTTCAGTTGCAGACTGGCGTCGCTCAGACGCGTTAAAACATGCCGCAGGCGTTGAAGGTGCGTGGAGAAGTCCGGAGCGAAAACGACGACGTCATCGAGGTAGCACAGGCACGTGTGCCATTTCAGGTCACGCAGAACAGTATCCATCATGCGCTCAAAGGTGGCAGGCGCATTGCACAGCCCAAACGGCATGACGTTGAATTCGTACAAGCCGTCGGGAGTGACGAAAGCGGTCTTCGGTCGAGCGTCCTCAGCCATAGGTACTTGCCAGTACCCTGAGCGCAAATCTAGAGATGAAAAGAATTCGGCTCCTTGCAGGCTGTCAATCGCGTCATCCACACGCGGTAGTGGGTACACGTCCTTACGAGTGATCTTGTTGAGACGTCGGTAGTCCACACAGAACCGCACAGAACCGTCCTTCTTCGCGACGAGAACGACAGGAGATGCCCAGGGGCTGTTAGAGGGTCGAATAACATCGCGGCGTAGCATGTCGTCCACTTGCTCGTTGATTACACGGCGTTCTGTGGGAGATACGCGATATGGACGTTGCCGTAGTGGTGGTTGTGCGCCTGTGTCAATGCGATGCGTAACAGTGGATGTGCGGCCGAGAGAAGGTTGAGATACATCGAAAGAAGAGCGGAATTCTTCCAACAGGGCCAGAAGCTGGGAGCGCTGTACCGGCGTAAGGTTGTCGGCAATGGAAGGACCAAATACATCAGCGGATGATGAGACAGATGTAGAAAGAGCACTAAGCATATTGGAACTTCGGCAGTGCGTGTCATCAGGTTGATCCATGACTTGTGCGTCTTCGATGGGTTTCACGCTGCCGAGACATTCCCCTCGCACCAACGTAACACTGTACAGGGATGAGTTCAGAACAAAAATAGTGGTGCTGCCGCGAGTTACTTGCACGGTCGCGAAAGGAACCAGCAAACCTTTTCTTGTGAAAACACGGTGAGATGGTGAGAGGAGTGCAGCGGTGTCTGAAAGACTTGCACAGTAGACCGACACCGCCGCGGACGAGTTTGCAGGCACTTGCGTGTCGTCCCTGACGAGTAACTTGCTTGCAGTAGATGGACTGTCGGCCGGCGTCAAAGAATAGAATGGTGTCAGCTCTATTTCTGCTGGTGCGCAATGAATGACGGCGTTGTGGCGGGAGAGAAAATCCCATCCTAGGATGACGTCGTGAGAGCATGAAGGAATTATGATGAATTCGACGGCATACATCACGTCCTGAATCATGAGGCGGGCTGTACACATCGCTGTAGGGTGAATGCTTTGGGCGCTGGCTGTACGGAGGGAGAGCCCGGAAAGTGGCGTGGTCACTTTGCGCAGTAATCGGCTAAGCTTTGCGTCCATCACGGATACGGCGGCTCCAGTATCTACAAGGGAAGATGCACGAACACCATCCACAAGCACGTTTATCACGTTCGATGGTCTTTCCTGAGGGCTTCCGCAGTTCGACAGCGTCGCAGCCCTTGCCTCGTGGACTGCGACGACTAGTTTTCCTGGTCACCCTCTAGTGGACGTGGCCGCATCGGCGACAGTGAGCGACGTCGCGGAGAATGTGAGCGGCGGGTAGATGGAGCCGGGCGGGACGACGGTGACGTAGGTGGCGGTTGGTCATAAAAGCGGCTCGATTGGCTGGGAAAATTGGAGGCGACCTGCGGTCGCTGCACACGATTGCAGTAGGGTGCTACGTGACCGACGCAACCACAAGCAAAGCAGATGGGGCGATTGTCCGCAGTGCGCCATCGGTTCACGGGTCCCATTCATGTCGAAGAACGCGATGGGCGAGCCGGCTGCTGATATAACTGCATAGTGGGCGGCACACGGGGCACGTGGATGACGTCGGTATATGTAGGCGGCACAGTTTCTCCGAAGGCCTGGGGTCTGGCGATGGTATCGGTGTAACCAAGAGGGCCAGTCACAGGAATCGGTGGGGGTGGCCTGGCGACAACTTGGGCGTAACTGAGTGGTGTAGATACTGGAGGCGGCTGGTGATATTCTGGAACGACCTCCGCGATTTCCTGCTGAATGGCTCGGCGGAGGGGAGGCAGAAGTGTGCTTGACGACTGTTCAGCACGTTGTGGGGAAGCAAAGGCCAGTAAAGAGACTTGGCGGGCAACTTCCTCACGCACGAATGACTTGATTTCAGCAAGCAAGGCGGTGTGGTCCGGAAGTGTTGACAAGGCCGAGAGATCAGCGTCACGTGAGGGTGGTCGACGGGTCATCGAGCGCTGCCGTCGTAGCTCCTCGTAACTTTGGCAAAGTGTAATGATCTCTGCCACAGTGCGAGGGTTCTTGGCCAGGAGCATGGTGAAGGCATCGTCGGCGATGCCTTTTAAAACATGGGTAATTCTGTCGGCCTCTGACATGCTCGCGTCCACTTTCTTGCACAAGTCAAGGATGTCCTCTATGTAGCTTGTGAAGGACTCACCGGTCTGCTGTGCTCGTTCACGTAACCGCTGTTCGGCTTGAAGCTTACGAACGGCAGGACGGCCGAACACGTCGACGACGGCGGTTTTAAAAGCGGACCAAGTGGGGAAATCGGATGCGTGGTTGTTGTACCACATGCCGGCCACACCCGCAAGGTAGAAAACCAGGTTGCCGAGTTTACCTGCCTCGTCCCAATGATTGGGGACGCTCACACGTTCGTACATGGCAAGCCAGTCCTCGACGTCGGTGCCATCCGCGCCGGTGAAGACAGGAGGGTCGCGGATGCGGGGAACACCGGAACATGGCGTTGGTGCAGGAGGAAGCGTTTGCTGTGCGGCGTCTTGGTGCATGGTAGAAGGCACGGTGCGGGATCGAAGCTCCAGGGGCATCAAATGCTAACCAAAGGTGTTAGAAGGGCACAGCACTCTCCACCAAATTGTTGAGACGTTTATTGGCGGACACTTGTCGACGATGCTTGACAGCGACAGTCAATGCGGGTACCGACTCTCTGCACGAGCTGCTCTTCTTCTTGCTAAAAAGGGCAACCCACTAGTAGGCGCTGGAGAGGACGACCCACTGTTCGAAGGCTTCACCACAGCTGTTGTTAACTTCACGCTATTCATCATTGTATTTTGACCCCGCATCGCGGTGGCGTTGTTCTTATGTGTGCTCAGCTGCCGGTCCGAAGGACGTGTGCTCGACCCCGTTTGCGACGTCACCTTTCGGCGGAAGCGAAACGTGTGCTGCTAGATGCCAGTGCGCGTTAAGGTATCATAAGGGGTCGAAATTTTCCGGTGCCCTCCTCTATGGAGTCTCCCACAGGCTTAGTCTCATTGAGAGGTTAAAGCGTACCACAAGGTCAACTATTGTAACCCATTCTTGTAAGCATGGAAGCGCTTGCATTATTTCCAGTGATACGTTTGGGCCCGTCTGGGTTCGGACAGAGGGTTGATTGATATGTGGGCTTTAACGTCACAAAACCACCATATGCATATAAGAGACGCCGTTGTGGAGGGCGCCGAAAATTTCGGCCACCTTGGGTTCTTCGACATGCACCCTAATCTGAGCACACGGGCCTACAACAATTTTGCCTCCATCGGAAATGCAACCGCCGTAGCCGTGATTCGATCCCGTGACCTGCGGGTCAGCAGCTGAGTACCTTAGCCACTAGACCACTGCGGCGGGGTGTTCGGACAGAGGGTGTTTGGGTACGAGTGCGATGCGTATTCGCAGGTGAGCTCCTGGCAGCGGTGACACAGCTGTACCAGAGCCGCATGGGTTCGCAGCGCCCTCCGCTCAGCTGGGGCCCTGGAGCCGTGCACGCGCTCTACCACTACATGCGTTGTTCACAGCTCGAGCACGCCGAACATGGATCGTCCAGGCGTTCGGCGGGTCCGGAGCTCATTTATGAGAGGTATGGTGTACCATTAATTTTTTTTGCCACAATGGGCTGTTTGGTGTTTGCTAGCTTCCTTCAACGGTCCTGCATTCCGAACGTTGCATTCCGAAGGTACAGATTCTACTGGTCTTGTGCAGCTTAAAACGACAAAAAGCTTTGGAGGCATACTCGCACCAGCAACATCTTGCGAGCTTTCAAATAGGAGAAACGAGAAGGAGGAGTAGTACCTCCACCAATATGACGATGCGGGATCGAACGGAGAACGAAAAACAAATTGTCCTTATCCGATTCTGCAAGAGGGGAGCTTTGTCTTGTTCCTCCTTGTCCTGGCCAAATGTTCTCGCGCTGCTTCTTTGTCCTCGCCACTGGCTCACACGCGGGACAATATTTTTCTGAAGCACAGCGGGCAGCCCTATATGTAGGAAAATAGCGATTACGCTACAGATTATCTCCACGATTTCTTTTTGGGACAAAACAATTTATATTAGTTTAGATTGAAGCTCGTGTTTTGTCGTCGGCACTGGGCGCGTCTGCCTATCACGCTCCGCAAAAAAAAAAAAAAGCAAGGACAGTTCGTAACTTTGTCAAATAATTATTACATATCGCCCCATTTCAGTCGTTATGCTAGATAGAAAAGCCAGCATGAGAGTATCGGCAGGAGGGGGGGGGGCAATGCCAATATGGCTGGAGAGTATAAGTACAAGAGAAGGCAATAACGCTGCACCACGAAAGGGTGAGGTATGAAAGGGTGAAGAGTGGAATGGAAAGAAGGACAGCAAGAGCGCCCGCGTGCACAGTGTCATAGTTCAGCTGGGAAACTCGTGCTTATCTCGGTTTGTCTGGCTCATTCTTACTCATTAGTTCGCACTCTCACTTTTAAATGTTTTTTTTTTTTTTTTTTTTCAGGCCATACCAGGTGCTCCCTCCGCTTGTGGAGTGGGTGCGGGTGGCGCACGCGCATGCCGAGTACCGGCGGTCGCCCCTCGTGGACCAGGATGACGTCATGCAAGCTGCGCGCCTGCTGCTTCCCGGAGTCGACTGCCCCGTGCGGGCCATAGGGTGAGCATCACTATGGCAACCTTGGCGTCCGCACAGAGGGTGGCGTATAAAGTCGATGCCTTGAAGAAGCATCGTCTGGTCGAGAAGAAGCATGAAGAACAAATGTAAATGAATCAGTGCCGACCAATATAAAAGTGTTTAGAACATTAAAATTGACGTTTCGGCTACAGCATGGGTAGCCTTGTTCACAGTAAAATGGCCCAGTGAGGCGGGCTTATGTCCGTTTTGTAACGCAGCTGAGACGCCTCTGCATCGGCAGTGTCGACATTAAGGCAGTTTTCGTTCATCCAAACTCCTTCTTTATTGACATATGGCACAGCTGACCTCGGCCTCCCCGATCTTCGCAGTGAACTTCACGAAGAACGTCTCCTGCTGCTTCGACGACACAGTTCGGCCTCGGCGGACGACGTGCAGCAGCAGCCCCAGGAGTGGGCGCGCCAACTGCAGACCGAGCTGGCGTTCAGGCTCGTCTCTCTGTGCGGTCAACAGGGCACGGGTGCGGCCGTGGTGTCTCAGGCGATGGCGCTGCTGCCAGCGTCAACCCGACTGGACACCCGCGACCAGCGTGGCCTGACGCCGCTCATGCTCGCTTGCGCCAGAGGAGACGAGGTCGCTGCCCGAGTTCTCGTCCAAGCAGGAGCCGACATACACGCCGAGGTATGCGCACTACATTCGCTGTCCTGAAGTTGCTAATTAAGGAATTAACAGTGTGGGTTGCATGTTTATTTAATGCTTGATGGTGCGAAAATGTCAGTATTACAGATAGAATGAAGAGGGGATTGTTTCAAGGGTTCGTTATCTTGTTTTTTTTTATTGCGACGTACGCTTGCCCTTAATGCATAATAGTGTGTACCTATATGTGCGTTAAATGTGCACCGTTAGGCAGGTGTTAGGTATGAAGTAAAATAGTGTGTTATGGTATGTCTTGTCATGTGTTCAGTGGTCACAACTAGTTGTATCGCTGTAGCAAAGGTCGACCGACCTGCAGGATGCGACGGTTGCGTTCCAACTGCAAGCCCTGGCATGCCCATATAAGGTGGTATGCATCTGCTTGCATTATTGGAGTTACAGTGTGGGCACGTATTACCGATTGGTGTTTGACACAACCTAACTAAACCAACAAACAATCATGTCTAAGAAGGTATAGGATGTATTATCTTTGATTGCATTGCAGTATTTAAGGCATAAATGGAAATGTATTAAGGTGGCCGAAAAAACAGCTTTGCCACTAGTGGTGACCGAAACTACGACCTTAAGATAACGCATCCGAAGCTCCACCATCTTAGATAACGGGGCGATCGTTTCCGTTAACAAGGTGTGCTTTCCTTAGCAAGATGTGAATGTCTAAAAAAATTGTGCAAGAAGTAAGTGATGGCTTTCTTTTCCGCTGAATTAAGTATTTTCGTGCATGCAATCTTAGGAGTTCTAGCAATGCTGCACAAGGCAACGGACAGCCGCGCTTTAGTAATCTATAGCGAATTAAATCAACAACACATACTTGCGACTCTAGCGGGATATATATGTACATGGCTGTGAAAGTAGTATACATGACAGCGCAAACTCAGAAAAGACAGACACGAGAAAATAAGTAGGAGTGAGCAGAAAGATCGGACGCTGGTATTCTGCAACGCACCTACTTCAAGCTACGCCAGCCATTTGTTTCACGCATTTAAGTTAACGCCTGACCTTTCTGGAATCGGTAGAATGGGGAGCGGTGGGCAGAGCGTCTGCTGGGTCCGGTGGCGTGACGACCTGCGGCGCGCGCGGCGTGCACAGCGCGAGCAATCTGCCGCTGCTTCAAGAGCGTGCATCTGTTAGCTCGGCGCGCTTGGCCGGCGCAGGAAGCTTCGAAGGTGTGTTCGAAGACGACGGCGGGGCGCGGGCCTAAGCCTAAATTCTTGGAAGCACGCTTTAGCTTCGCCTCCAAGAGTAGAACGCCGATGGCATAATCGGGCCCTGTTGGCATCGCCTTCTCAATTGCTATCCGTGCTTCGGTTCTCAATGGATGCTTCAACCGTGCCGCAAAGAAACGAGTGACTATGCGGGGGGCATTGGCCGTTTTAAAGTATCCTACAATGCCTACTGCAAGCATAATTGAGTGCCCTCTACAACGTCGTTATATATTTCTTTTGCGAATGAGTGATGGGCCCACTACGCGTATGTAGGGCAACGCGTGAACCTACGCAGCTGTTAAGTCTTTTGATGCTTTTGTTGCAGGTGAGGAGGAAAAATGTCTGAGTGCTTTGGAATGTGTGGGCCTTTAGAACACCCACTCTTTGCGCAATTCATATGTTTTGATGCCTGGCGCGTGATTTCGTGTAAATCAAGAAACATTCCTTAATTATTCTTGTGAACAACCCAAGCATAAGCACTTGGGCCGCACGTTTTATCTTTTAACCATCTGTACGGAATACTTGTGCGATAATTTCTTAATGCTGGTGCTGACGACATTAAGCTTACAAATTTTTTTAGATTTCACGACCCGAAAATTGTGGGACCCTTAAGCTTCGCCTTTAAGAGTTGCACGCTTAGCGATATTATAAAAGAGGCGTGTATAAAAAAGAAATTATAAAAGATATTATAAAAAAGGCATGTATATAAAAGAAGCACTGTATGAAAGAGACGTGTGTTTGTAAAGCATGAAAGTTACTTCCACTGCATTTTTCAAACAGATGAAGTTATGTTCAGTGTATTCACAAGCAGAAGCGTGGCTGTGTAGTAGAACACCCGCTTCCCACGCAAACGACATGGTTTCGATCCCCACTGAGACCCAGAACTTTTCATTAGTTATTTCATTTGCATCTTCCTCGATTTTTCGGTCACGCAAAGATGATTTCTCGCTCACAACCAACGATGCTACAATTTCTGCGAAACGAGCTCTCTAACGTCATCGCGTTAATATGCTCGCACCTGCAAAATCAGAGGTAATCCACCAGAAGTGGGATGTACTTGTAATTTACAGTTTAATTATAAGCGTAAACGCATTACTAGTCGATGACCCAAACAACAACAGTCAGCTCAATATACATGTCACGCTAGCAGCGTCCACATTTAGCGATCGCAGGGCGAAGTATCCTAACATATATGCAGTTACATTACATGCCCGCACTATCCCACGTTTTGTATGCACAACTATAGCGCAGAGAAACTTTTTCGTTCTTTCGCATAATAAACGCGTGGTCCTTCCCTCTTATTTAAGCATATACAGTATGTCACACACTTCGTGTGAGGCCCCGCCGATCCAACATCGACGTGTGGCAGACTCGCAAGCTTCCAGTTTACGCTACGGCCTGCAATGCCTGAAAGGCCTCGAAGTGGCACATTTCAAATTTATTTGCAGGTTTGTCGACCCGTGCGGGGTTGCAAGTGTGGTGATGTATGGGCCCGACTGACGTACTCATAGAGCAGACACGAAGATTGGATTAAACGCAGGCAAACATTTAATTAAAATAGGACAATGGTAAGAGTTAACAAAAATAACAGAGGACTAAAACTGATACGCGATGGAAAAGAACGGCTATATAACAAAATATGCTAAAAAACACTACAAAAGATACAGGCTAAAGACATACGTGGAATGTTAAGAACTAATGACATGAATCAAAGGAGATACAAGAAAAGTTACATGAGAAAGATTATGGTCATGCTTCTGAGTTTTGACGTGCGACGCAGCGCACGCAACTACAAATAATAAAAAAGGCTGTTTATAATAAATTAACAGTTACAAAAGTCACAATAAAAAAGGTTCCATACGGACCAGGCCAGCTCTTGGTGCACGTAGGGGAGTTGACGGGTGCCGCTGAAGATCTCGCCGGCTTGGTAGACGACGAGGGTGCCCGGAATTGCAGCCGTCTCAATACGTTGCACGGGTCACTCTATGCTTGTCGTCTACGAGAGATTCGCGACACCGACGACCGCACTTGTTGCTGGCTGTACGTCAACTGCCTATTCTGATGCAGTCCAAACTTTTTCAGGGGCGTACACGTGCTCCCGTCCCATCTGGGGGTAATTTCCCTTTTTTAGACAGCCTGTGCCCCTTTTGGTACAGGTGCAGGGAAGACGAGCCGGCGCCACGCTGGGTCGTTAGTCGCGGGATGTCGTCCTTCCAACACAAAAGTGCCCTTCCTTGGAAGATGGGGCCCGCGGACGATCCAAAAATTGGAGTCCTTTGTGACACAGTAGTAAAGTTTGTTTCAACGTGCACATACGGTTTATACTTCACGCGTAATGTTTTCATGATGTGCCTGTGAAAGGTAGGGTCTGCTAGCCTTTCTATTTGCTGTTGTGCTGTCGCACTTCGGCGATGCACTCGAGAGTCCCTGATGTCCACAGTGGCCTTGGTATGCTTCCAGGTGAGCTCCTGCCCTATTGCTCTTCGTTTATGTGTGGTTCCACTTGCACGACGTGGAACCGCACATAAACTTCCCACTTGCGCAACATGGAAAAATAATTTACGTAAAGCGAAAAGAGTGCAACAAGTGATGTACCCTCATTTAGACCAGACAGAAAAGTCATTATTAGATGCGAAGCAACTCTTTGACTAGCCTGTGTAACGCTGTCCTTCCGTCAGCACTGCTCTTCTCGCTGTAGGTGTTGGAACGATGCCAAGTATCTCAAGCCTTGCTAGCAGTACATGTTGACGTCTCTCTCCCTCTCTTTCCACAGCTCTTTTTCTCTTTCCCCTCTCCACCGTTCGCAACGCTCGAGCTCACTCCTCACGTGCGCATAATCTCACCTGTGCCACCTCTCTCCATCTGTCGGCGAGACAAAGCTGTGAGCTGGTGCACGCGCGACTCGAGAATCTCGCAGCGCCGACAACGTAAGACAGCGCGCCGCTGCTTGCAGCGCAATCGCACCGACGGGTGGGACACCGTTGCGGCATGGTTCCCGCTAGTGTGCGCGTACCTTTCCCGGCTGTCGCTGGCGTTGCGAAGGTTAGCGAAGCCGATCAAGTTTGCGAATGGTGACGCCAACACCGACGAGGCGCGAGTTAGGAAAGCCGAAGGCAAGCGTTGGCAGGGGAAGACCATGCAGCGACACCGACGAGGTGCGAGTGAAGCATAGAGTTTCCCGAAATTAACTAGAGGGCACTCTGGTGCTGCAATCGTTCAGCGACCATGGGAATGATGGGTAGTACATACATTTGCCTGGTCTTCATACTTGCTGGCGGCGAATCGTACTTGCGGCTTCGTTGACTGCTGTGTTTGTTTTGTTTTGAAAGAAAGAACGAATCCTTTTGAACTTAGTTACTTGATTCGAAATGATAAGCCTAAAAGAATAAGGTTGTGAAGCGCAAACGGTGAACATTTGTAACATTTATGTTTTCGTGAAAAAACACATCCAAGCGCCACGAACATACGCGGAGCCAGAAGCAGGCCAGAAGTATGAAAATTATACAAATGTGTGTACAACCCATCATTTCCATGCTTGCTGAAGTGCCGTGTGTTGCAGCTTCCATAGACACTAGTGCCAGAGTTTCCTCTAGTGTATATTAAGAAACTCTATGGTACAAACATTTGCCTAGTCTTCGTACTTGCGGGCGGTGAATCGTACTTGCGGCTTCGTTTATTGCTGGTTACGGTTTTATTTTGAAAAAAAGAACGAACCCTTTTGAACTTAGTGACTTGATACAATATTGTAATCCTAAAAGAATAAGG